GTGTGATGAGTAGCAAGTTGAGGAAATTGGAGTCTTGTGAGTTGAGAGTACTATTGAGGGATCACAAGACTAACTATGAGTGTATTACTAGTCAGTTTCAGCTAAAGTTAATGTAGTGAGTTTAACCCATTTACCCAACCAATGTTTTCACGGTGTTAAAAATATTTTTAGAGGTTTCTAGCAGCATGACATGGTGGGGATGATTCATTATGAAAGTTCAAAATACTAATCCATGTAAAGAGCTTTAACTTGGAATAGTAATTCAAGAGTAAACTGACAGTGTCAAGCCCTTGTCTTGACAAGACATGCCAAAGCTTACCTCGAAGCCCTTAGCTCAAGTCATATAAATGGGATACTCAGAAGACTACAATTCACCCTAACGCACAAAATAAATAAATAAATAAATAAATTTATAAGAGCTTTCTCTTCAATGTGTAGTGTTGGTCTATAACCTTCAAAGGACAGGAACTGGTCCTTGAATTTTCATTATTGTGGCGCGATTAATTCCCAACGATAAAACCTATCTAAATCACATTGCTGTTTAAATCTGCGTTAATTTTCATGTGACTCTTGTAAAAATATATCACTTCTAATTTTTTAACACTAACTCAAGTAAGGTGGACATGATTCCATTTGATTTGGTTCCAAGAAAATCGAACTGAATCATGAACCAATAAATTTTTTTATATAATAGAACTAAATGTTTTTTATTTTTATTTTTTTTTAAAGATTTGGAACCAAATTGCCCTCATTTGAACCCCCCCCCCCCCCCATTATTTGAAATTTTAATGGTTGAAAGAGTGGTTTTTCTGAAGAATATGTGGTCAAAAAAGAAAAAATTGTTTTAGGATTACGTGTAATATTATTTTATTGAAAAACGTATGATTGATAAAAAGGAAGAAAAATGAATTATAATTTTAATAGGGCCAAATAAGGGTTAGTTTCATTATTGGTTGGAAAAAAAAAATGAGAAATATTTGAGAAAGAAGAACCGAAGGTTAAGGCTTCAATTTTATAAATTGATGCAACGGTGGTGATTGAATGCGACGGTAGCTGTAGTTGTTGGTCTTCATATGAAAGTCAATGTATAGATTGAAAAGGAGAGAAAATGACAAATGAATTTGGGCTCGAGTCTTTAAGATAAATTAGGGTTTTCAATCTCCAAAATGAATTTGGGCTTGAGTTTGGTTCTTGATTTTAGAACTAAAATCGAACTAGAACCAAAACGAAATGGTTCTCACTTCTAATCATTAGAACTATTAAATTTTTTATAGAATCGAATCGAACCACTCAATTTAATTTGGATTGATCATTTTCTCCATCACTAGACTCAGTTAAGGAACAAAATTTCATTTCTTAAAACTGCGCATTCTAAGGACTATGGTACAGTTGTTTCTTATATTAAATAAAAAATTCAACTGCTGTCCCTTTGTTAACTGATCTCCATGTTTTAGCATCCTCGATAATCTGTTAACCAATTGATTGTAAGTTCAAAGTACGTAATTTATTGTTATCTTTGTTTTTATCACATTTTATTCTACGAAATTTAAAATTCATCGTCAGTAAGTCAAATGCAGGTGTGAATAGATATCCTATATTTGACTGCTGATAGTAAATTTTTTCCATTGTTCAAAAGAAAATTATTACATGATTCTCCGAACCCGAAGTGTGTTCATAAATTGTGCCGCGACCGATGATTTTTTAAAACTATTGTGAACCTATGACTCATTCCATATGTATTATCCCTATACAATGAAATAGAGACTTTTGTTTTGGCACTGTACATAGCAATCCGCGTCCTTATTTTTATTTTCTTTGACGACCCAATTAGAATGTGTTTGATTGACAATATTTTTCAAAATATTTGTCATTTTTCACCCAAAATCTCACTTTTGTGTTGTTTGATTGACATTTTTTTGCATGGAAAATATTTTTTTACTTTCAGTCATGTGACCATATTTTCCTTAAAAACAAAGGAAATACTTTCTTTAGGAGAATAGGCCTTTATTTTCCAGGTAATTCTCGCTCTCTTTCTCTCTCATCTACTCCCTCGCCTTCCCAACTTCCTACCAATAAAAAACAGACAAATATAATATTTTCCAAGTTAAAAATAAAATCAATCAAATACATTTAATTGACAATTTTCAAGCAAATAATTTCAAGACAATTCAATTACCTAGAATTTATTTTCTTTCCATGTAAATTCCATGCTTGCAATCAAACACATGCTTACTGATTATCTCATTATTATTGGAACACATATTCTTTGCCTAAACGGACAGTCATATTTCCTGGAAGTAATTCAATAGACAACGAAATCTTGCGTTGCTGCAATATTCAGTCAATCCATCATAAAGAAAAGGTCATGGCAGCGGGCACCAACCGAGAGATTATCAGCAATAGTCAAAGGGAAAGTGGCATATGATTACGTTTCGCATCTAGGAGGACAATCATGAGCACAAGAAGCCAGTTTACCCGATCAGTCTTACTTGTACAAGTAAAATCTAATAGTGCACTCTTGGCTGAGCTTAAAACATTACTTATGAGTTACTAGTAAGGAAATAAGCTGTACATCAAGCTGAATAACTTCATTTGAAAATAACCCTTACCTTACTGTCAAAATAACTAGTTTTTACGTAAAAGTAAAGAAGTAACATAGTCTTCAAAGTAAGTTTTCACTTTAGAATTAGCCAAACATTCTGACTGCGGAAAGAGTATATTTTGAACAAGCTCCACAATCATTCAGCCAAGGTGAACTCCATAACCAACCACAGCTGACAGAAAGCACATTGTGTGAGAATTCCAACATCCACATTAACATTTTCGGATACACTCACTTGCTATCAATTCATATGAGAAAGAGTTCGCCATAAGACGCTTTTAGTTAATAGCTTCTCGGTGAAGTATTCAACAGCTTCCAGTTAAACGAGACAGAAAAGAAAAACAAAGAACAGGCTACAGCAGCAGTCAAATGCATGTCAAATCACAGGGAAATGATGAAGAAGTATACGAGGATGTAAACTACAACTTCTGATCAAAGTCGGGAATATTGCACCATTGATCCCCAGTATATTATCTGGGAAGCAAGTTGGACCCCACAACATTAAAACGTACAAGTTGGTCCTCAATCGCTCACTTTAGTTGGACAATCTGTCCTGACGATGAAAACCATCAAAATATCCATGATATTGTCACATGGCCCTCGCATGTCTGACCTTTTTGAAGCTAGGTTTTGTTTCACGACTTAGGTTGGTGTGCAGAAATTTAGTGAGAGGCATGTTACTGTAAGCATCACGCAATGATTTTATGGAGATCCATTCGGTTTTCATCATTAAGAACGGATTGTGCAACTATGACAAAAAGGTTGATGATCCACTTGCCCCTTTTAAATCTTGGGAACAAAAATGCTACTTGGGGAAATAGGTGGACCAATAATGCAGTTTTACCTTAATAGTGCCATGTGACCGAAGAATGGATAAATTTTACTTGTAACAATGCCAAAGAGTTGGCATACAGACATGCAATCCATCCGGAAGTGAATGATCATTATCAAGCTTTGATAATTGCTTCAATGACACTCATGCACGCTCATCTGAAGCTGAGCAATTTCTCCCAAGTCATGTACAATGAATAAAGTATATTCGTTTTAACATCGCATCTGAGGAAAATAAAAAGAAAATTCCGAAATTGAGAAGAAAGAAGAATCAATAGACAGGCAGAACCTCAATCTTTCAATACCGTGACATAAACAGGATTGACTTTTGCAAATTTGGGTCTTTGAAATTCTTGGCCAAATTTTATCTTGTTTTCTTTTACTTGGAAGAATAAATAGTAGAACCACTATATCTACACGTCCTCCAAAAGAAAAAGATGGAGAGAGAGAAAGAGAGAGAGACTTACCCAATAATGACCAGACATATGATGACAAGGTGGACATGCTACTACGCAACTTCTCAAAGCAAAGAGCCAATATCATGCTATACTTACCTGGCAACAATCAAGAAATGTTAGCCACACAATTAGACGATAGAAACTGACAGTAAGAGTTCAAATGACTCCATCCTTAGTCAGCAAAGTCCACACCAAAAATAAAAAAATAAATCTAAAAATACATTACTTTCATCTATATTAGAAAGCATCATCAACATGTTTGTAAGTTCAATATCTTATACTGCATACGCAAGAAATTTGGTTTAAAATTTTATTCTGTAAGAACCTGCTAAAAGGCCAAAAAGGCTTTGAGCAGATTACCCTCACTGCCTTTTGATCTATACTAGAATTCGAATCTGTACCACAACTGCATCAGCAAGGTTAAAAAGTGAAGCCTGTGACATATTCCACTGGAAGGAAGCTGGTATATGCCAACTTGTTATACACATCAGCAGTCAATAACTAATCTGAAACATTGGAGAATAAGTAACATACAGCAAATCAAGATTCTATATTCCAAGCGATAGACTTGGAGACATGTTATATGACCCTGTATCACATCACAGGTCTTAGAATATGGTAGACATTATGTTGCACAAGCCATACATGAGACACATGCTTTTAACATAGCATTAAGTGTAGCACTTTATACCTTTGCAACTCTGGTGTCTGATTACACCGCAAGTCTATAAGCATGCAATCTACAAAACATAGGTGAGTGACAGAAACTGCCTTCATCCAAATGGATACTGACCTTGCTAACTGAAATCAGTAAGCCTTAATAATTGTACAATACTTCCAGATTGACCAGATGCACATGGACTTCTGCTCAAAGAAGAACAAAGAAAATCGAAAGAGCAGCCCTCCAGCATTACTTCAAAAAACTTGGGGCATGTTTTATATCCGCTATTGGACTGGACAGAACAGTACAATAAACAAAAATTGAAATTCTTTTGTACTTCGTGAACCATAAAATGTACCTCGCTAAACAAGCTGTTGAGTTTTAAAGGTTTGTTCCGTTCATCTTTGAAGATAAGTACGGTAGAAGGAAAGAAAAAAGGGACAGCAGATAATACTACAGGGAGAATTATGTATATTTATTGCCATGAAACAATTCTAAGCTGTACACATATCCAAGTCAGAAAACAAGTAATTTCTCTATTCTACGATGATCCCTGACAAAAAAGAATAGGGGCCTTCACTTTCTACCCTAAAAGATACAGCTTTCAATTATAATGAACAAATAGGAACAGTTGACTATTGGAGGACCCATGTTTAAAACTTCAAGAAAGGAGGCCTTTGCAGCCACCCTTGCAATGTCTTAACTTGTCATGCTTCAGAAATATTCCAATTAAACCATAGATACCCCTAAATTTCTGGAGGAGACTGATACAGGACGGCACAGATTCATTTACAGATGCTCATGGGTTCCGTCTCCTATCCAGGCTGCACTCGAGCCACCAACTCCTCATGGTAGCTTGAAGGAATAATTTTAAATGGGAAAAATTCCAAGATTGCCCTCAGCCGTCCCACACTAAAGTGACTGGTTGGGCCACGAATTCAGCAGCCTTCCCAGACCAGTGAAGGGGAGGATGATACCATCACTATTTTATGCCTGGCTTTGTTGCCATGTGTCTTTCAATCAACATGTCCACAAAGGCTCGAATCTGCCACATGAAAATGGAGTGTGAATTTAAGTTTTCCAAGAAAACCTAAAAAGAATCAAAGTTTCTTAATCACATATGTGAAGAAAAAGGAAGTGGGGACACAAACAAAGCCCAAGGATGAAATAGGAAAGTACCATGCATTATGAAAGACAACCAAGGCTGGGATAGCTTTACAGAAAAATTTGACATGTCATAAATACATGGAGCCCAGTGCATTCACATTAAAATTAAGCTCATTATATTGCTGCATGACTATAATAAGTTCTTACTGAAACCATTTTGAACATATATATATAATTATTTTGCCAGATCCACCAAATCCTGGGATTTTGGAGATTTGACGAATCTGACATTTTGACATGATCCCACATCCAAAATTCATGCTCACGCATTTAAAACAGATGCCATATAAGTGATAAACAGTGGGCTTAATGATAAAAATGAGCAGGAAAAAAAGGATCCTGATACGTTTGACGGTTTCTTCAGGAAATATTTCAGAAGTAGTGCATATAGCAGGCAGATTACAGAACTTCTTACCACCCGAAATCTTATTAGTGGTGGACAATCAAATCATCATGATCACGGTATAATTAGCCTATGCTTGACTGACCTTTTACAACACATTGACATCCTAAAGAAAGTTTATGCCTGCTGAAACCATTTGCAACAAAAAACTGACAAAACAGGCACTAATATAACAAACCAATGTAAACTGTGTTCCCACCTTGTTTTTACGTTTGGAATCAAGAAACTCAAAAACAGCCATTGCTTTCTCGGCGTCAGTAGTTTGTTCCATTACCTAAAATCAAAGAAACGAATAAGAATAAGATCAGGAAAAGGCATCATAGGAAAATTAATAAAGTTGATGAAGAATGAATTACAGAAAGGAGATTAACCTTCGTGGCAGTTTTCTTCATTATGGACTTATAACCTTCCCTGTCAATTTTTCTTGCTTTGTAAAGAGGCATGAGCAATGATGCTACGTAATCCACAACCGCCTGTTTAATACGTTCTGTCCCCCTAGGTTCATTGTCATTCTTTTCTTTGTTCACTATAATGTGCGAAGAAGAGCTCTCATTGGCTGGTGCATCATGTTTCGACAAACGTAATTTTGAACTCATGTTTGAATCCTCCTCATCTGTTATGTGCATTGTGCCATGAGAGAAACGAGAACTTGCAGCAGCTGCTTGACATTGCCATCTCTCAATAGCATTGTAATCCTTTATTCCTACACTGCCGGCACTATCAACCCATGCTTTTGTGAATATACTGCTGTCTGCAGCTACACTTTCTCCAGAGTGCTCTTTAAAGTTAAACTGATTTGAAATCTCATTTGACTGGCTCCGCTGGGAGCGATTATCAACAGATATTTTAGAGCTATCAAGGTTGACACCAGCAGCTGAGAAGTCAACCGACCAATCCCTTACCCTGCAATTCCTAGAATCTATTTCAGATAAGCAATCTTGTCTTCCTATTGCACCACCAGACCAATTCCGTCTACAGTCAGACTCATCCTGTGAATATTGTTCTCGTCTAGCAAATTTGTTAAATGAGAGTATCTTAGGAAGGCGCAGCGAGGTGTTATACATGGCACCAGAAGAAGCATACGCCTAAAATGTAGAGGGGAAAGTGAAAATGGTAAGAGGCGTAAAGGCAACAATATAACACTCTAATTACATCTCAACCCACCCCCAAAACTAAAGCCTGTTAAAAGAGCAAGAAAAAGAGGAAGCTATATTATGTGATGTTGAATTATGTAATTAAAGTTGGTTTTATTCTTCATACAAGCAATCATGAAACATATTTTCTGCATTTGTTACGACTCAAGTTATTGGTATTTGTTAGGATATTGAGACAAGATGAAGAAAGTTAAAGGATGCAAAAGTCAATAGCCTAAGAACTGGACAGGCCCAGGCAGGTCAGAATGACAAAATAGAGGTTTTCATAGTCTTCAATGCCATAAAGGTCCAATGCAAGCATACTCTGGTATAGACAAAATTTCTCAAAAATAATGCTAAAACAACAAATTTGACTAATTGCAACATCAGACCAACATACAAACAATTGAACAAACATCCCCAATTCGCTCACTGCTCTGTGCCTGCTCATGGGAGCAAAATGTTGGAACAGAAGTTTAGTGCAGTGAAGCAACAGAATGGGTCTTCATCTCAAGCTAAATAAGTAAATATAGAAGATTTAGATAACTGTGAAAAGATGATGTGTGCAAATGTTTTAAGCCGAAAGCTACATCAAAGACCCAATACGACTCTAATTTATCCACAAAGAATGTCAGAATGTACAACTCACCAATTGGAAAAAGGGTGAGAGGAAATATCTACCTTAAAGCAATGACCAAATACATACAAAGATTGTGCCTGACAGGTTTATGTCAAAGCCACTGCAGGTATGTTATCTTCTATTAGATCATGGAGTTATATGCTGTGCCGACTTAAAAATCCTACTTCCAAAGCATAAAAACGTATATAACAAAATATAATAAAATTAACAGAAAAGAAACTATGACATGCCTTCAAGAGAACCTCGTAAAACCAATTAAAACCAGATTGCGTATATCAAGCACAAAAAAAGCTGGAAGTATGATATATATGCACATGGAAAGAAATGAAATAAACCTCAGCAGCGGCAAGGGCTGCTTCACGGGCTGCTTCGGCAGCAGCAAAGGCAGCCTTTTCCTCTTCAGTCATGGGAATATCTCCATTTTCCTCCATGGTATTTTGCCTTCCTACTGAACCATGAGAGGCTGATGATTTAACCTCTGATTTTGAGTCAAATCTTGATTCCACTTTGACTGGTCCGTTGTTCACCTTCTTAGTGCTCGCACTTGAAGGATACAGGTGGCCAGCAGATGCAGAAACTTTAGGACTTCCTTTGCTCTCTATTGCAACATTAGGTACGAACAGAGGAGGCTTTCCTGAAACTACAAAAGACTTGCTTTTTGATGAGTCCAGATTATTTGGTTGCCTCAGTAATCTCAGTCCACCATTAGATGCCTTCTCCTTACGGAAAATTTCGACCCAAACACTTACTAGCTGGCTTGCTATCGCACGTATATCACGGCTTGTATGTACACAGACTTTTTCTTTTACTGTTTTTCCAATACCTACATAGGAAAAATGAAGTTCAACAAGTGACACCCTGATAACAAAAGCTTTCACTATTGATTGAGGAATAATATATTTTTAAAACCCAGTGAAGCCCTAAACCTGTAGATTACTAAAACCAAGAACTAGCAAAAAATGCTCAACGGAAAGTTCTTCGACCATTAATGCTATTAAAAGCCTAACAATCAGTGTTTCCCGATGTAAACAACCTTCATTATGAAAACACACAAAAAACCGAAGGATTAACCAGAAGATAATACTATACAAGCATCTGGAAGAAACAACTTCCAAAGTCCACGCTAACAGCATCAGAACGCCTTTCAGCAGACAAACTGATACTTACATAAACACACATATAAGCCCTGCTGTGACTGCATCAATCAAAACAAGACTATTGTGATGGGGATAATACCTGATAAGCGGACTGCAAGTAAATCAGTTGAGACAAGTACAAGTAGACGGACACAGTGACGCAAGAGCTGAGTTCCATTCTTCCCCATGGAATCCTGTCGTGAACGATAAAATTCCAACAACCAAATAAAAATAGTTAATCAAACAACATTCACAACACGAATTGAACACTGACACAAAAACAGATCATCATGAGAGAGCATATACCAGAATCCATGAGTTGAGCGTGCTTAGTCCTTCTTTAGTCCCAACAAAAGTCTTGAGAAATCCAACAGGAAGGTTTAACAGCTCTTTAGCCAGATGCAATCGTCCAGCTGTAGTATTTGCAGTGAAAAACATATCCCGTAGCAGACTACCCCTGGTCAAAATTGGGGTTCCTTCCAAAGAATGCTTACATAGAACACTTGATAGTTCCACTGCATCAAGTCTCGTGATAATATCCCTTATTTCACTCCTTTCACTGGCAGATCGTTTCCTTGCAGCCTCCATGAACTCTACCTCTGCAGTATAATCAGTTCCTGTACTCAATATATCAATAATACGTATAGCCTCTCGAAGCCCACTCATCATTGCACCACCTACAGTGTCAGGATGCTCCTTGCAGGTTGCTTCACCAGCAAAGAATAAACAGTTCTCCACTGGTCTGCCCAAAATATCATAGTCTTCTCCTGAGGAACCCACTGCAACATAGGAGTAAGCACCATAGCTGTAAGGATCCCGTCCCCAATCGGTAACTACAGATGCAATAGGATCAAGAACTCGTTCTTCCCCAAAAATTTTGCGGAGAACAACCAAGGCATTTGTAACATGGTCGGATGGGCTCATATCTTGACCATCTATGGCAGCCTTACCGACAACTAAAGCTATAAGAACAGGTGCTCCAACTGTCTTCTTGACATTCCAGAACATAAAGCACCGTCCCCTGTGATCCGTATCCTCAGCAGTGGCACCAAAATAATCGATGGAGTCATCCCAAAATACTTCAGGAAACTCCAACACAACTTTATTTAGAACACCAAAACCAAGCCGCTTGATGGATAGATATTTCCATTGGGGCAATGGTGGTGAAAATTTGATAGTTTCCGCTTTCAGACAGCCAAGTGGCACCGTGACTAGGACAGCATCTGCATGAAACTCCTTGCCATTTGATGTTGAAATTTTAACCTTTTTACTAAGTTCGTCACTTCTCCTGCTATCCTTCATGCAATATGAAATACTTGTGACGACATGGTTCAAGTGGATGCTAAGTCCTTCTCCTAGAGATTCAACAACACTACTGTAACCCCCTTTGATCATACAATGAGCTCCACCAAACCCTCCATAATCATCATCCTGGTTCCAATAAGGAAGTGATACTTCTTTAAGCAAAGCAGCACATCCGTACTCTAAGTTGGCAAAATGCCAATCCATGACCCTCCTCTCTAGGGGACTCAAAATCTCTGATTTAGAACCCTGAGCCTCATTAACTTCATCATCAACACCAAACTTTCCAGAGTCCATGAGATTATCCAATACTTTATTCAATTCACCGTCCATTTCATTCCTTCCAGTACCAGCCATGCGACGTTTCTTGAGCGCATATTCCAGACCTTCTTCAAGAGACATTCTCGTTGCATATTCCCCTTTCTCAGCAACTAGCACTACCATGTCATCAAGTAGGCTATTAAACTCTTCTTCCAAGGCTTCATCTAGACGTGCAGAAACTTTCTCACCAGTTATGGTGTCATAAAGAGGACAATCACTGTTCAATACAGTCAACTCGAGTCCCAACTGAGCACAAACCAACGAAGAAGGGTCTGGTCTTCTTTCAGTAGCCACATCTGCCTCAACACCTGTAATGATGCTAGCACCAAGATCTACCGGAACTGTGCAAGATGAGCGATCCGTGAACACACGACCTCCTATTCTACTTCTAGCCTCGAGAATTGTAACATCATATCCTTGGCGTTGCATGTGGCGAGCTGCAGTTAGTCCAGCAGGACCTGCACCTACTACGATAATTCTCTTCCTGAGTTCAGAGTCACAATGTCTAAGGCCGTCGCCAGTTAAGGACAATGTTCGAGCAGAGACTTTTTGGGACTTTGACTGCATAATAGTTACTGCTCCACCAATGTCAGATTCAACAGAAGATATTAAATCTGGACACACAGTAGGGAGTGTTCTACCATTCTCATCTTCACTGGAAAGAATACAACCTGTATAATCCAAATCAATCACACCTTCAGGAAGCTTTGCATTTGCACCCAGGTAACCATTCCCTTGACAATCATCAGGGGAGCATCTTTCAGGAACAGTTGGTATAAATAATTCTCTGGTTTGAAGATTTGCGAATTCCACATCCTTGTCTTTTCCCGCTTGTCTTTCATCACCAGACGAATTATCATTCTTCCCCACTGTGGAAGTATTGGAACTCTTTACCCTCCCAACGATAAAGGAAACTCCATCTTCAGAATCTGCAACAGGAGCCCCAGAATCTTCCCGAAACTTTTCCTCTTTTAGAAGTTTCAAGTCATGCTTAGAGTTGTTCTCTGCTCTATCCTTCTCAGAAGCAACTCCAAAATTTATACAACCCTGTAGGAATGCATTAAAAACATGAGAACTAAAATTTAGCATAAATTTTGAATAACTATATACAGTTGACATATGTAATTGCTAATAATCTAAGAAGTTTCAAAGAAACCACAAAAGATTAAGACATCATTTTCATAAGCCACCAAGAACAAAATCCAGATAATATTAATAATTTCTGAGAACTTACACGTTGATCAAGAAATGTATATATATCCCTAATCAGAGTAGTGCGCGGATGTTCATCCATCAATGGAGTATCAGACACTCCAAAGTCTTCCAGTGGCAAAATGCGACTGACATCTTTGTTCCAGACACTCAAAATATGGTTTCTGCACCACAGCAAATAATTATGGTCCCACTGTTATGGAAATTGGCAAAGCAGCAATTAAAGAAGGAGACATTTCACAGAAACAGGGTGGCCCAACAAGGAAAATTATAGAATAATACAAGGACATTCATGGCGAAAACCACTATTGAGCATATGATTTGTGATCAATAAATCGAACTTGCAATGATCATTTCAGTGAAAAAGAGAATTCAGAGAAGTTTGCCAAAGTTCAAGCATAATTTTCAAAGTCTACTAAGAAGTTATAGAAACAGGACATTAAAGCAGCAAATTAAGCAGCTGTTGAACTAAACCACCTTTCGAAAGTAGATGGCACACATAATTAACAATGAACCATCACTAACCCAAAATCAAAAAATCATGTAAAAATAAAAAAGGAATGAATGGAATCAATTATGGGAGAGCGTCGGCAAAATGAAGGCATAAAGCTGTAATCCACTTTGCAAATCAGGAAGAGAAGGATATTGAGCCAATGAGGAATAATTGTTATTCCAGAGGAATTCTCAGAGTCCACGTAGTCAACTCTAGGAGTTGTTGTCGAGCCTCATCCTCTATTGGCGCAGGCTTCACATCTTCGCTCCTCCAATGCCCCTTTCAATATAGTATGGCTTTCCCACTCCATCCAATTTAAACTCAACTACGAAGATTTCTACCTCATCATCGATTTTAATTACATAATCAACATTAGAGGAAATAATGAAGTTGGAAGATTCTATGAGAATACCAACTTCATTGAATGTTTCTATTTCATTTGGCTATATTTTGATTAATTCTTTATGCTCTACAAGTTCATATTCCACAGTTATTGTCTCCTCGGGTTGAACCGACGATCTTGTATCCAAATTTTTCAGCAATTGCATGAAAAAGATTTCTTGGGGCTTCTCCCTTTCTTGACGGGAAATAGTGGAGTCACGACTATTATGATTTTTCGATCAAGGGCCCAATAATTGCCATAATACTCTTATGGGGAAGTCTTCCTCATTTATTTCATTCAAATCATGTTCTTGGAAAATAGGTAGATGTGATTTTCATATTAATCCCAAGGGCAAGTTATCCTCATGAATCCCGGTAAGTGCACATGTAAGGCCCCGAATTCTTGCAACTCTATGTGAACAAGTATGAGTTCTTTAACGTTAACCATCTAAAATACGTAATTAAGGAAAGATTTTAAGTTTGAATTAATTAATAAATATAGTAAAATCTCAAACAAAACTGAATATATGGAAAATATGTATGTATAACTTGATAAAATAACTTCTATAAGTTTCTTTCACCTTTTAAACTTTCAAAAACATGTCGATTCTGAAGTGATGAGATGCATTGATCTTAAAAATGATAGCTAGAACTTATTAAAAAACGGCAAACATGTACCCAATAAACAGATTGAAAGTGCAAATGTAGGCAAAGACTGAATAGCTTCCAGTTCAACCAATCATTATCAACTAAAACATGCAAATAATAATAATAATAATAATAATAATAATATTAATAATAAAATTGCTGATTAAAGAATGGATACTGACCGGCATTCCAGATACTCCTGAAGTCCACCTTTGCGCTTCAGCACTTCCTTAAACTTGATTTTCTCAACAGGACCAACTGCACGAGCTTTTAGCCCAGCCAACACAGCTGCTGTCTTTCCATTTTCAGACTCTACAATTGTCGATGCCAAATCAAACTTCTCTCTTGCTTTAGAAGTCTTCTCACCATCTACAACCTGATGGCTAACAAGAAAACCTCGTCCGTGCATCAACATCTCCCAATCTGCATCCCCCTCATAAGCCATGTCCCCATGCCTATGCTTTTTAGCATTACGAGCAATACGCTGGCCAACTGATAGCCCATTATCTTTAGTTTCAGGATCAGCCAAGGATCCTATATCATCTACAAAGATTACATCATGGTCCAGTAAATTTGATGGTGAAGAGATCCCTTCAGCGTCTTCATTCCCTGAAAGAAGGTCATGGCTTTTAAGATATGCATCTTTTGGCATTAAATGAGAACGTTGAGAAAAGAGTCCATAGTCACCAGTTTTTTGGGTTTCGTCTTGATGCTTTATTTGGGAAGCCACCTCATATTTGGGGATTCCATGTGCTGACACTGGAGATAATTTACCCTCAGAAACTTGACCATCCTCCCCTTGTGAAGAAACTGTAGCAATATCTGAATCTTCAATGCATTTACCGGGTATTCCAATTAGACTACCGCTACTGGATCTTCGTTCCTCCTGTGGTACATCAGCTACAGATGATGATAAGTGAAATGGGAATTGCCTAAAATCATTAGAACTTGAGTCAAAATTAGTCCGATGATCTGATTTCACATCATCTCCCATCTTCCTCACACAATCAGACGAGGATGTTAACTGCTCCAAATTTTCATGGGGAAAACTTTTAACCATATGCTGAGCTGTATCGTCACGTTCCCTATTAAATGATATGTCCTCTAAACAAAACTCAGGAACTACTCTGACATCTGAAAAGGAAATTTTAGGGTCAATGATTGGGATATGGCTCGTTGGAACTGCTTTTGATTGTGAAGCAAGCTGGTCACTGGAATCTCCTACTGGTACAACTTCATCAAACTGGCCTTTCTCAATCTGTTTGTGATCAACCGGTAGCTTTGACACATCAAGAGATAAATCATCTTCCTTCTCATGTTTTACCCCCACCACGGGCTCTTGAAAAGGAAGCAAACAACAGTCATTAGCTCTCAGATTAGAAAATTCCACAGAACTTGTATTGATTATATGATTTGAAACATGTGCATCCTTGGCTAAAATGGCATGATGCTCATTGATCTCAGAATTGATTTTACCATCTTGGACTCTAGTAATCATACCAGAACAAGCCCTGAAAAAAGAATCAGATCTATAGACCAGGGAATTGGAAATTGAATGCTCAGAGATTGATTTGAGAGATGCTTCATCTTCGGCAACAATGGATCTCAATATTTCATTTGTCTCTAGTGGAGTAGATAGCTCTTGCTGCTTTGAATAATTGCAAATTAAATTACCTTGTACATGGTTTGGAACTTGAGGCAAACTATCATCAGCAGTCTGATGAATCAAGGTTGACCGCATAGAATCCCTCTCAGGTGCTGAATGCAAACTGTCATCAGAAGCCAGCAATTTTTTGAACAATTTAGACGGAGACCTTGATTCCCCAACCAAGACATGTGTAGGAAGAACGTCCGAGCCAGTAACGGAACTTGATATCAACCCATCATCAGAAGTTTGAGTTTCCTTTCCCTGTTCCAGCCGTGAAGTGCCACGGGATTTCCTAATCATGCTTGACTGAACCCTTTGGACATAAGAAAACAAAGAATCTTCTGAATATTCATCTCCCAAAGCACCCTCTTTCTCATCCCGTAATTCGCTATTTCCATATTTCTGATTATTCAAACCATCAAGATATTCCCTTCCATCTTTGTTTACCCTTGAACTAAATTTGGATCTCGTGCTTGTCTTTTTGTGCGTCATATCGCAGGCTTTGCCAATTGTCCCATCCCCATCAGATCCACCAATACTGCTCACCTGATTTTTCTCCCCAACCTCCAATAACAACTTTGCATCCGAAGAGTCGTTTTCAGCAGATAATCTGAAAGACTGACCTGAGGAGTCCACAATGTTGTTACCCAAATGTTGTCCAACTACTGCATCAGACCCACCATCCTTTTTCGGACCCTTCAATTTCCTCCTAAAACTTGCCAACGTATCGCCCATACCACCCAGCTCTTCCTCTTCAACCACAATTTTCTCTATCACTTTTCCCTTCTTTCCACAACCATCCCACCCCAACTTAGTTTTCTTGTTCCTTTTACTTTTCAATTTTAGCAATGACAAAATAGGCTTGTCATCATCTGAATCAAATGCCATTTCAACCGGCTTCAACTTTCTCTTTGAACCCATCTTCTTATTCTCTTCCCCTTCCACTCCCTTCAATCCTAGGATTTCAGTTTTCAATGCAACACTCTCAGCATGTACCCCTAACCTAGGGGTGGAGCCACCTGGGGTCTATTCAGGCAGTTGCTCCCACTGATTTTGGTCCTGGGTATTCCACCGATTACACTTAAAGGGGCTGCCGGTTCTAAAGGCAAGGGGAACTCGTTAACAGCCTCATTAAAATTCAAGACAAAATCGCTGCTGTGTAAGAAAGATTACCGTAAAGAAACAAAAATTTCAGGGGGGGTGGGATTCTAAGGAGATAGAAGATGAGAATTTTAGATCCAGGTTGTGTTGAAATTAAAACGTTCACAGCAATCAAATCGAACGCAAAATCAACATATAAAGCACTTTTTACACAAATAAATCTGATACTAACTTCCCAGTTCTTGTAGAAATCACTGCAACATTAGAAAACTTGGTGCCCTGAAACCCTTGGCCGCTTGACCCTCCTGTTGCTCCATCAATACGACTCAAAAGAGGCCCGGGCATATCAATAAGACTAATTGGGCTATACTGGCTTATAACCAAACATCCGATAATGGGCTTCTATCGAGTTCTAATCAATTTTGTCTATGAGATTATTTAGGGAAAAATACATAATTACCATGCTTTTGAAGTCCACTTTCAAACATGTTTTCAAAAATCTATTGGTCGAGCATATTTTTTTATTAAAACATGTCATGATTACAATAAACACGCAATTTATGGTCACAGTAACAAACCATTCGTATTAAGTCACAAATTACACAATTAAAGAATCACAATTAATTAGTCACAATCTCTATTCATCTCACCCCACCCCACCTCA